CTGTGCGCTGGATGCTGCTGGCCCAGGGGTAATGCCGAGCCTCAGACAGGTGGGGCAGGATGTGCCAGTGGTACCCCAGGGGCGCGTGTCCCATCCTGCCCCAGGGCTGATGTGGGATGCCGTGGGGTTACCCATTAACTGCAGGAATTTCTGGGGAGGAGGTGAGTGGCGAGTGGAGGCGAGGGGCAACGCGGGGCTCCTTAGACTTTGCTCTTGGTGTGTGTATAAAGGGCCTCCGTGCCCTGCAGGCCACTTTGCTGCAGGGACGTGTGGACGTGGCATGTGGATGTGGTGCTGCCCTGAGTGCCTGGCCAGCCCCAGGTGAGCAGGGCCCTGGACAGGAGGGTCCCCTCCCCATGTCCCCTTGGCCCGGGCTGCCTGCCCTTGAAAGGGCTCGCTGGGTTGGCGTGGTGGAGCACTGGGTGATGGGATGGTCCCCCTTGGTGGTGCCAACCCACCATGGGGATTCTGGTGACCAGTGGTGGTCCACATGGCACAGCCATGGCTCCGCTGTGGTGACACATGGCCACCTCCGCTCAACCTCAGCAGGAGCAATGCTGCCTTACCGGAGGGAGAGCCCAGCCCTGCCCCGCTGCCCAGTGCGGGGTGGAATGGTGGTTCACGGGCCCCAGTTTGCCTACTGCCCCAGCCCCCAAGGTAGGTGCCCCCCACCCTCCTCCTCCTCTTCCTCATCCTGCTTGGCTCAGTTCTGCTCTGGCCAGACCCTGGCCCAGGCAGTGTCTGACTCCCATCCCCGGGGAGGCTCCCCAGAGCAGCTGGGGCTGTAACACTGTGTCCCCATCTCCCCAGCTCTGCACCGGCTGCCGGGTGCCCACGCCTGTCCCTTCACTGTCAGCGCGGTGCCCTGCCCTGACCACGGCTTCCCCTGCCCCGGCTCCCCGGGGCGCCTGCGCGAGGGCAGGGAGCGGTACGAGCTGGAGGCACTGCCCTGGCAGGGGACTCTGGTGGGCTTGGATGAGCTGCAGAAGCCAGGTGAGACCCAAGGCACAATGCCCCTGGGTTGGGGAACAGCCTGGAGATCTTGCCCACAGGGAGACTATGGGGTGCCAGGAGAGCCCAAGCTTTCTCCTTGGGACTGGCAGCACTACCTCCTGCTGCCCTGCCAGTCCTCATGCTGGCACCCCAGAGGGACCCCAGCATGGTGGTCTGCATGCCAGCACAGGAGACTTTTGGCTCCCCAGGGTGCTGTGGGCAGAGCTGAGGGGTGATGGGGACCATAAGCTCCAGGGCAGGAGGATGTGAAGAGGATCCAGGGAGTGGTGGCACATCCAGGGGCATGAGCCTCATCCCACCAGGGCACAGGAGGATGGCTTGGGGCTGCGGGAGCCCAGGGAGCCAGGGCTGTGCCACAGCTGGTGTTTAACGCTCTCTCTTGTCTTGTGCAGAACTGGGGTGCTGGGTCAGGGTCCAGTCCATCTGTGTCTCCCTTCTCAAGGTGCCTCTGATGTTTGCATTCCTGTACCTCTTTGTGTGCTCCTTGGATGTGCTCAGCTCTGCTTTCCAGCTGGCTGGAGGTAGGGTGACAGGGGACCCAGGTGGCTGGTGGCACCCAGCACCCTGGCACCCTGCTGCTTATGCTTTCTTGCAGGCAAAGTGGCCGGTGACATCTTCAAGGACAACGCCATCCTCTCCAACCCTGTGGCTGGGCTGGTGGTGGGCATCCTGGTGACCGTGCTGGTGCAGAGCTCCTCCACCTCCACCTCCATCATTGTCAGCATGGTCTCCTCAGGGCGTGAGTGCACCTGTGGGGCTGCCTTGGGACCCTGAGGCTGGGGAATGGGGTGGCTGGGCAGGGTGACCCTGAGCTGGGCCATGCGGGGCTAGCAGATCTCTCTGTCCCCAGTGCTGGAGGTGCGCTCTGCCATCCCCATCATTATGGGCTCCAACATTGGCACCTCTGTCACCAACACCATTGTGGCCCTCATGCAAGCTGGTGACCGCAGTGAGTTCAAACGGTGAGAGCAGATCAGGGCAGAGGGGACTGGGGGGGCTGGGGCTGCTCCTCAGGGGCCATCCCATGCCAATGGGCTCCTCTGGGCAGGGCCTTTGCTGGTGCCACAGTGCATGACTGCTTCAACTGGCTGTCAGTGCTGGTCCTCTTGCCGCTGGAGGTGGTGAGCGGGTACCTGCACCGTGTCACCCGCCTGGTCGTGGCCACCTTCAACATCCGTAGTGGGAAGGATGCCCCTGACCTACTGAAGATCATCACAGAGCCCTTCACCAAGCTCATCATCCAGGTCTCCTCAGCCTTGGTGTCCCCAGGCTGGCAGTGCTGTCACCATCCCAGCAAAGATGTCCCCAAGCCGGGGGTGCTGTCAGTCCCCAGGGGCTCTCTCCAACACGTGTGTTCTTGCAGCTGGACAAGTCGGTGATCACTGGGATTGCAACGGGGGACGAAAGCCTGCGCAACCGCAGCCTTATCCGTGTCTGGTGTGGCCCTGCTCTCCCACAGGTGAGGGGCTCGTGGCCCTGCTAGAGCCACCAAACAATCCCATGGAGGGTGGGTGGTGGACAGGGACTGGCCAAGGATGCCATGGAGCTGGCTGCAGCCCACGCTTCCCCTGCAGATGGCCGCTGTGGGGCTTGGTTCCCCCCCAAACTGCACATCCCCTGGCCACTGCAGCACTAAGGGCATTGAGATCCTTCACAACGTCACCAGGCAGAAGTGTGAGTGGGTGTGGGGGGCTTGGGCAGGGCTGGGGCAAAGGGCAAGGGGCTGGAGAAGGTGCAGGTGGGACTGGAGGGGCATGCAGGATGGAGGGGTGCTGGGCAGGGGAAAGAAGTCATGCTGTTGGGGCAGGGCTGGGAGATGTTGGGGCTGGGGTCCAGGTGTGGGGCTGTCTGAGGGGAAGGTTAATGAGCATGGCCAAGCTGGCTCCAGCCCCTCACCCAACCATGCTGTGTGGTAGGTGAGCACCTCTTCACCAACACACCACTGCCCGATCTGGCCGTGGGGCTGGTGCTGCTGGCTGGGTCCCTCCCTGTGCTCTGCACCTGCCTCATCCTCCTGGTCAAACTCCTCAACTCCCTGCTCAAGGGACAGGTGGCCAAAGCCATCCAGAAGGTCATCAACACTGGTGAGTGGCACAGGGACTGCCGTGGGGGGAGTGGGACCCTGCCTGCCCCATGACCACCCAGCCCCACCTGCCATCCTCAGACCCATCCCTGGCTGCCTCCAACCCCTGTCCCTGCCTGGACCCCCATGTCCCCTGCCTGCCTCCGATTCCCACTCTGCTTATGGCTGTCATGGCCTCCTGGTGTCCACATCCTCCTTCCTGAGCCATCCCAGCCCACAGTCTGACCCCATCCCAGAGCCTGGCTCCACAACCCCCTCCTAAGCACCATGCAGGAGCTCTGGGTTGCTCCCAGCTAATGTGTCCATGTCTGTGCTTGTGTCCATGCCCGTGCCCATGGCCATGCTGTGGCAGACCTCCCACACCCACTCAGCTGGCTCACTGGGTACTTCGCCATGGTGGTGGGTGCTGGTATGACCTTCGTGGTGCAGAGCAGCTCTGTCTTCACCTCGGCCATCACACCTCTGATTGGTGAGTCCTGGTCGCTTCCACAATGTCCTGTGGATCCTGGAGTGCTTGGGAAGGTGGGAGGAGCCATGCCTCCCTGGGAACAGCACTGGTGAGGAGCAATGGGATGGGATAGGATGGGTGCCTCTCCCACAGGCCTGGGTGTGATCAGCATAGAGCGTGCCTACCCACTGACCCTGGGCTCCAACATTGGCACCACCACCACTGCCATCCTGGCCGCCCTGGCCAGCCCTGGGGACAAGCTGGCCAGCTCCTTCCAGGTATGGGCAACCCCGGGCCACGGCTGGGCTAGTGGGGAGCACTGGGCTGGCCAA